CCTTTTCACTTTTTCCTTAGGTACTGGAATCCTGAAACATTTTGCCTTGTCTGAGATACCACACCTTTTTTATTTCCTGTCCTTTCCTCATATTGTTACACTTGTGCAATTTATTCTTTTGAGAATTTCAGGGGTTAGACAAAGAAAGGGGTGCAATTGGATTATGTGCATGTATGTTTCCTTTAAGGAAGCAAATTTCAGCTTGGATTGATGAGAAAGATCCCTTTGGAGGGTTGCAAAATGCAGACCAATTTCTTTGTATTTTTCTGGCTGTTTGAAGAAATGTGAAAGCCATCGGGGTTTGGTTTGATTTTATGTAGCAAAGGACTCGAAACTGAAGATGGTGTTGGGCAAAGGTTGTCTTCGGCAGATCTTGGGATATTAGCTTTGAAAATTGATTTGTTAATGATAGCTGTTAGAAATCAAGGCATTACTTCATTGGTATTAATGGTGGGTAGTGAAACTGTTTAATTCATTGAATTAATGTTCATTTGCTCTGTTCATTAATTTTGGAATAAGCAGTGGGCTTTATAGAGTTGACACCATTGACTCCTAGTGACACATTTGTTATTGGCACATTCAAGACTTGCAGTTTTTGTAGTTTTAAAATTCCTTCCCGAGTCTGGCAGTCCTTTCCAGAGTAAAGACTACAAATGGTTGTTGTGGGTTTTTCGGGTTCTTTAGGCCGTGTTCTGTCACTTGTTGACCATCAGGAATCTGTCAGGTTGGATTTGGTTGTCTGTTTTTAGCATGAAACCACATTTTATTACTTGTTCCATTAGATTTTGCCAGTAATCTGTGCTATGTTTTTCACTCTCTTCTTTTCAACTTATTCTGTCCACATCAGCTAACTGTATCCCTTTGTTCCATAATAATTCACTGGCCAGAATCTCATTGGTCTGTGTGTAAGACTTCTGTAACTTACTAGAGCTAATTGATGAGGTACAATGGTGCCTCGACTTACGAACAGCTCTGTTCACAAAATATTGCTTCAAATTGCAAACGGAGCTTCGACTTACGAACAAAAAAACCCACGGAGAAAGCAGGAAATGGACTTTGGACTGCCTGTTACTGCCTGGTACTGTAATTTTAAAATGTAAAAATTGGTTTAAAAGTTGCTTGGTTTGGTTTAAAGCTGCTTGGTTTTAAAGGTGTTTTGTTTCAAAGGTGTTTGTTCCCTCCATCCCTCCTTTCCTGCCCTTTTTTTAACCTAAGTCATCTTAGTGGTAGAGGACAGATTAACCGGTTTTGCATTTAGTTCCCATAGGAACGAATGCAATTTCAACTTACAAACAGCGCCTCTACATACAAACAAAAAACAGCCAGAACAGATTAATCAGTTTTCAATGCATTCCTATGGGAAATGCTGATTCGATTTACGAACTTTTCAGCTTATCAACATCTTCTGGGACGGATTAAGTTCGTAAGTCGAGGCACCACTGTACCAGAGTGTCTCTTGATTCCATACCCGGTCATGTGTCCTGAGATGAACTCCAGTACTTCTTCAGCTAGTCATAATAAGCTGCAACAAGTTATACAAAATGTAGACAAAAACCTATAGGATTCCGGGCAATCCCTTCTTTTGTTTCTCTTTCTTTCTCTCTCTGTAGGTAACCCCTCAGTTATTATTTGGAAGTTGGAAATGTATTCTTAAAAGTAAATGGGGAGCACCCTTTTATCCTTTATCAGTAAACAGAGGGGAAAGTTTTACACAGGTAACAAATAAGAAACATAGCATGGAAATAAATCCTTTTTTTTTTCTTTAGAAGCAACATTTCGAACCTGGAGTGAACCCTTCACAGTCTGTCATATCTGCAGCCCCAGGACTACCCCAAACTCTCCCATCCTGAATTTTTAAATTTTGTTTTGCTCACAAGTACCCATCTAGGGTGTCTGAGGGAAATTTTTTGCCATGTTTGAGTGTTCCCCATATTCCTATAATTAAAATTTAAATGAACATTGGGGGGGCCTTTAGAGGGTACAATAAGTCCCTTTTTAAGCTTCAAAACCCTCTTTCTTGTTTAAATCTATTTTTAGTTGTTTTTAATTGTAGTACTGACAGCTTGCCATCAAAGCCAACTAGCACAGCCTGAGGGAAGAAGAGGTACATAGACAGCAGCTGGAGTCAATCAAGCTCTGCCCATAGAATCCTTGAGGATGGGTGATGGACTAGGCATAAACACCAAGGGCTTTTCATGCTCTCAGCAGCCATTCCTAAACACTCTTGCATCTCCCTTTAAATCACAAAACTTTAAATCACAAAATGACACATCCTTTTCTTGGTTCTCTGGGATTATTTTCAAAATGGGCAGTGCGAACAATAAACTGTGCAAAGATTTGAAATTTTTAATCAAATAGCAACAAAAGAACCAACAATAATATAATTTCAGCCCACTTTGGATGCTACCTATACACATGTATGCCCATGGATTCCATGCATGAAAATAAAGCCCCACAAAGCCTCCCTAACCAAATCTCAAGATCATTCTGTCTTTCAAAATCTTCCCCTAGGTAAGAATCCAAGGCTCAGAGAAGGTAGTTCTGGGCACTCACGGCTCATTCAGATGGACATTTGACACTCTAATTACAGAGGCAAATTGGTTCACCTTTTCTTTTCTGTTGACCACATAATGTATTCACTATAGAAGGCCAATTACCCCCCAGGGCATCCCAAGCCACATGTCTCTGAGACCCCACCAAGGGCTTTTATTTTATTTTGTGTGCCCTAGTTTAGTCCAGCCCAGTACATGCAATTGCTGGGAAAGGACTAAAATTGAGCCTTGCAATTAATGCAAGGAAAATTAGCTAGCTCACATTCTCTCCTGGGATATCTATTCCTTTCATGATTTCCTGGAGGTTGTATTGTCACAGCAGAAACAAGAAAAAGTCTTCTGGCATGTTATATGCTGGTGAGGGCTTTTTTTTTTTAAAGATTGGGGGGACATTTTCCCAAGGAGGCATAACTGAAGTAGGAAGGGGTGTAGCAAAAATGACTAATTAGCTATTTCTTCCTTTTAAAAGCCAAATCCTGTCATTAACACCTCTATTCAAATCTTGCACACCAGAGGTTGTTTAAATAAGAAGTGGTTAACTGATGAAAAAAGGAGGCAGGTTGTGGGATTTTCTCCTGCTTGGTATCTCTTTGTGAATGGCAGTGAACACAAGAGGGTATCCTATAGACCATCTCGACTGCTGATATGGGTGTCATCAACATTCAAGGTTTCCCCTGAATCTCCCTCTACGAATGATCTTTTTGGCCCTAGGTCAGGCATGAAACAACTTTTGTGGCTCTTAGGTGGGGCATGCAAGCCAGGAAAGTGGATCACTTTCATTTGGTAAAGTCTGTTCTCCAGGTACTCTTTGTTTTCAATCCATTTACTATGTTATAACAGAACAGCTCTCAGTCCTCAATGGACAAGATTCAGTCATGTATTAAGCGGGACAGTCTTTGCTGGAGGTGACAATGTATTCCAGATGAAATATTCCATCAGAAAAAGATGATGATAATAATAACCTAAGATTTGTCATTAGGAAAAATTGAATGAGAAGGAAAAACTTGCCTGTTTACAATGATAGGATGATTGGTATTATTGCTGATGTTTACTGAATACTTACACAGACTTTTCTTCTGTGTGGGTGCCTAGTGACAGGTGGCTTTTGAAGCCAGCTGCTATTTATGGCTGCCTTCCCTTCTGCCCCTGCACCCATTCTCTAGTATAAACAAGGCTGCCCTCGCACATACTGAGATCCTCATTAAACAGATTGCTCCTGCCAAAATGCAAGGTAAAGGTCTGCTTTTTTTCTTTAGAGGAGGAAAAGGATCATGCATTCATCTAGCATTGTCCTGCAAGGTGTCAAAAACTGGTAAGGACATCTCTTCCCAGTTTTGAGTGTGTTCCAGCCTGATATGAAGTGAAAACTCTATCCTTCCTTCAGGCCTTTGCATGTCAGGTGGCTGTGAGGAGTGGGACTTTTTTTCCTTCTCTTTGTGTTGGCAGAAAGAGGAATCCTTTGCTACAACGACCCCTGCAACCATCATTTGCTGGGCAGAGATTCCTCTTTGCTGATGACATCCCTGGTGGAACATCTGTGGAAGTCTGTCCTTCAAAATCCTCGCTGATGGGTGTCTAAAAGTAGAGCAGTGCCTACCACACGGTGCCTCAGGAAAGCTTCCTGACAGTAAATCCCAGTGATTATGTTGTGACTTGCTTCAAATAACATATCCAGATGTAACTAGATGTAACTCGGTGCCTCCTTACTTCTTGCTTGTTTGTTTGTCTTTTGTTTACGTGTGGTGTTTACTTAATAAACAGGTGTCTGGGAAAAAAATTGCATTATGTAACTACATCCTTTAGAGAGCTGGGACTAATCGTAGTTTCCTGTTGAGCATACAGGCAGTAACAAAGACAGATTTGCTGCTCTACACAGTGTGAAATGGAGAAAGGGACAAGAAATACACAAGCCTCACTAGATTTATTTTAAAAAGCAATGCAAAATACAATTTCTGTTTCTCTGCCTTTTATGAGACCCACCTGATTCTCACTGTCTAGATGGCGGAGAGAGAAGAAAATGTATCTGAGATCACAGCCTCAAGCCATTATGGGCAGAAAAGCATGCAACAATCCACATCCAGGACAGAAACCTACTACTACTACTTCTTTTTAACTCCAGCTACAGGAAATCTTGGAGGAAATCTACTTTCTATGTGTTCCTTGACTTTCAGGAGTAAGGATAGTGCATTTTCCTATTACATGGTCTGGGATCTTGGGGGCAGGGATCATGAATATCTGACTTCTGTTTAATACAGAAATGCCTCACCACAGTCAGGTTGACTGCTTTGATGATTATGCTACCAGCTTATTAATAACTCTAACCAGGTAATGCAGAACCATGCATGTTTAGTGGATCAAGTATTCTTCCTTCATCATTCAAGGTAGCTACCGTATACAAATGGGATTTGTTTTTTGTGATCTATATTTTGTTCTGTTTTTTTTCCACAGTTACCTCATCGCCGAGTGACATTCTCTGCAGCCAATCAAGCTCAAGATCTGCAAGATCCCTCACAGCACAGTTACTATGACAGTGGCCTTGAGGAGTCTGAAACACCAAGCAGCAAATCTTCATCAGGGCCCCGCATTGGACCCCTGGCTCTGCCTGAGGATCACTATGAGCGCACCACACCCGATGGCAGCATTGGGGAAATGGAGCATCCTGAGAATGGTAAGGAGCCCAACTCTTCAGCAAGCCTTTCAGTAAAAAGACCCCTGTCAAGAGTTGTAGGACACACAAAAGAGCCTCTGATTTAATTCCCAGTATTCCAAGGAGTCTCAAACAATGGGCAGGGAGATAGAAATACTGCTGTTTCACAGCAGGAAATAAGAATCAAGGGCTGAGCATTTGCCATTCTGCAAAAAATACTTTAGCAGTGACTGTGTTGGACTTGTTTGGGGGAGAGCTACCTCTGAAAAATGGATAAACAGCAAATGAGAATAAAGAAAAGGACAAAGCAAACAGAGAAAGAGATTTAGGGTTTGAGTTTGCAGCCGATCATTCTCCATCTGAACAGACTGGTCTCATTCTGTTCCATGATTTTGCTATGCTCTCCATTTTTTTCCATCTGCCTTCCTTTTTAGTACAAGGATTTTCTAAATTTCAGATTACCTAATGCGTCATTTTCCTTAGTTTTCAGATTTCCTCTTCTTTCACATAGATAAGAAGCACAAGAAATATGCACATTAACACAGTGCTGTGATTTAATATATCATATGTAAAAAAAAGCAAACACACAGCTGGAGGTTTCCTCAAATGGTGGATATGTCTGAACAAAGTCCAGGAATCAAAATGGAATAATAGTAGATAAAGATGGGCAAGAACCACAGTTTGGTGGTTTGGCCCAGTTTGCCACGACACCCACACAAGTGTTCCATGGGCACTGGGCACTCCCGTCTCCTGCCTCCTCTGCACACTCACCCATTTCCCGGGCAAAGCGCACTTCCCTCCCCACCGCGTCAGTGCGACTGCCTACTCACTGATCTCGGAAAATATAGTTCCCTCCTCCACTGCCTCCAGAACCTGCCCACTCAGACGAGGAGGCAGGACAGGGAAGCCTGCCGCCCTGCCTTTGAATGGGCAGCCACTGGAGGAGATGGAGAAGGGAAGCGCACACTGCGATCAGTGAGTGAACAGTCAAAATGTCATGGTGAGAAGGGAGGGAGGGAAGCGTGCTTCGCCCGAGGAATGGGCAAGTGTGCAGAGGAGGCAGGAGAGGGGAGAACACCTATGCAGGCACCACATCAAATTGAGCCAATCCACCAAACTTTGGTTCATGTCCATCTCTAACAGCAGATCACTAATATGTTAACACTACTCTGAAAACATGATGAAGTATAGAGAATCATGAAATTCAGACAGAAGTTTGAATTGAGAGGGGTGTTGCAAACATTGCCTAATAGGCAAGTCATAGTGTTGCTGCATGTATAACTCAAGTATTCCTTAAACAAGGTGCTTAAAAATTGTGCAGAATAATCCGAGGGACTGAGGGACTAACAATTCCTTGGCCTTCTCAAACTGTCATAGACTTGGAGAAGAAACAGGAAAGACTCAGTGGATTTTACAAAATCTTCATGGAGATGGTGTAAAGGCTGGATAACAGGTTTCCATTTAATTTTTTTTTTAAATGAAAGTATCACATAACCTGGGTCTCAGAAGCAGAATCTGGGCTAAAAATGATATAGGAACCCATTGCACTCATGTGGGCCACAGAGGCTTCTGTATTCTGGGCTGAATATCTAGAACTACTGTGATCTAAGGTATACAAATCAAGTTAGTGTTTAAGCATATAGTAAAGCACAGTGATTGTGCTCTCATAGACGCTAGGTGGAGTGGAATTTCAAATAGTAAGCAACTGACAAAGCAAAGCCGATGAGTAAGAAGGCAAAACGAAGTACAAGTAAGGAGGTATGGAAAGCCTTTGCAGTGTAGGACATTGTCTGGGAAATCTGTCCTCTTCCACCTTTACCAATACGGACAGATGAACTTGGCAGGAATTTCCTTAAGTGGACACTGTCTCTGGTCTCCTAATCTCCATGAGGTTTCCTTCCCTCTGTTCTTATAATCCTTATTCCGACTGACCTTTTATTTTTCCCTCCACTCTTTTCCAGCCCTTCTTTGCCCAGATTTTTGCAGTTCCTACCCATACTTCTCTCATGTTTGGTTCTCAATTCACTCTGCACGAAACCTTCTCCCTTTCTTCTGTCATCCAGTTGCTTGGCTTCTGCACCTTCCCATGCAGCTGCCTAACCCACCACATGCTTGCCCCGCTCTCTTTGTTCCTTCTCTTTTCCTCCTAACAGCGCATATCCTCTAGACTCTGTATAAAACTTCTTCTGACCTTTCTCTTCCTTTATGGAAGAAATCAAGAGATTCTGAGCTTACCTGTTCCCTCGCCAACCCTTAGAGTGTTGTAGACATTCCATTATCTCACATGAGCCTGGCCAGCAGCAAAAAGGTCTTGCAGAGAGTCCCTGCCCTTATGTCTGTAGTAGAAGTGGGATGACATCATAGTCAACCAAGGTATTGTTTTTGAATTTTGAAATGGTACATTGTTAATGGATGCAATTAATTCACATAACATGAACAAAAATGGTAGGTCCCTGCCTTGATGTTTTTATTCAGCAAGCAAGTTAAGCAAACCTAGGCATTTTCTACCATCCACAAGGGCTAAGAGTTCTAACTAATTTATCAATGAACTGTGTGTGATCAGTGGTGACCCTTCCCAGGGTTTCCCACATATAAATTGCTCAGAAGGCATTTTACCTCATTCTGGGGGTGATGGGGGACTATGCAGCTTGCCCAAGGATGCACAGGTTGGCCTCTCTCCTAGGAACCAGGCTAGAAAATCAAAAGCAACCCATGTGCTCTATTCCCATTTACCAATAGAATTCTTACTGGCATTCCTCAATACTTGGAAAACTCTTCAAAGTAAGATCTTCATCAATTTTTTTTTTTTACTTTTCAGATGGTAGAACTATAGACCCTGGCATCTCAGATTGCAAATGGGCAAAGTGCTCAACTTTTAAGCACCCTAGCAATATAATTCTGTCTATGTCTATTTCAGAGTAAGTCCCCATTCAATTCATCTAACACTCTGGGGGAAAGGGTATACAGCAACCAAAGTGTGTCAGCTTCAGCGAGAAAGGTTCAGTGTAGTTCTCTCCCTGAGGCACAAGAAACACACGTACCTTCTTTCAGCAGCCAAATAGTATGGCTGAGATCAAAAGAGCTACTTTAGGCATGCCCTCTGGAACTTGCTTTTGGGGGATGAGTGGCAGTTCAGGTCTCTCTCTCTCCCCCAGTGCCATATAGAAAATGGCTTCTGTGGGTGAAAAGTAGCTGTTTAAAAAATAAGAGATTTGCCCAGTGGTGTGAAGAGAATGTCTTCTGTTGGAGAAAAAAACAATCCAAACCTCCTTTCACTTTAAGAACCAATGATGTGGTTTGCAAGACGTAGGGTGGGCTTGGAGTTGATTAGTTAGATTTAATTACTCATGTGCTATTTGGTTATTCCTTTTCCTCAAAGAGATTTAATAGGTTTATTTGTCAGTTAATGAAACTACCTACCACAGTTTGGAAATAATTAGTTAAGTGTTTTCTAGTTACATGACAGCTCATTCCCCAATGAGTCTTAAAAAGTAAATTTGCTGGTTAGGCGCACTCACTTGTTCCTGTGGTGCAGTCAATAAGAGATTTGCCCTCAGTCCTCATTGTAGGTGGTGATCTCAACAGGAGGAGGAGAAGGATATGAGAGCAGCACTGGGTTTGTTAGCACTGTGGACAGCAAATACAGTGGTGCCTCGCTTAACGGGCACCCTGTTTAACAATGAAACCGCATAGCGACGATTTTTTTGAGATCGCTTTTGCGACTGCATTGCGATGTTCCCTATGGGGAAAAATCACTTTGCGATGATCAGTACCCTGTTTCGCTTACCGATCATCGCGAAGCGATGATTTTTTAACAGCTGATCGGCAGTTCCAAAATGGCTGCCGGGTAAACAAAATGGCCTCCCGCTGTGTTTTTGCGCCGATTCCTCGCTTACCGGGCAGCGAAAATGGCAGCCATATGGAGGATTTTCGCATTAAGGTGAGTTTTAAGCCCATAGGAACGCATTGAAGGGGTTTCAATGCATTCCTATGGGCTTTTTAAACTCGCATAGCGACAAAATTGCTTTGCAGCGATTTTTGCTGCACGGATTATCATCGCTATGTGGGGCACCACTGTACTGCATGCAGGACGTCTGCATCTGAAGCACGTAGAATTCTAAGTTGATAAAGAGATAGACAATTCAATTATACAGCAGTGCTGAAAAATATTCAGTGACTCAAAATATTTAAGCAGTTATTTTTGAACCTTTTTTTATTGCAGTGGACCAGTGTCTTCTAAATGAAACAAATACATCATTCCTTATTTATCTCCTCTAAAGCAGACTAATAATTCATGGGTTGGCAGGCTGATTGAACAAAATACATGTTGGTAGAGGTGGAGAGAGGAGAGGTGCGGAACAGCAACAAAAACATCATTGAAAAAGTTGTTAGATGCCACAATTTAGGTCATCCTTCTCCTATTTAGCAGTTTCCAGATGCCCTGCACTATAATTCCCATCATCCCTGACTGTAAGATTTGTACTCCCATGTTTAGGAAGGCAAACGTCAGAAAAGGGACCTGGGAAAGAACTAAAAAGAAAACAACAAAGGACAGAAAAGCCACTACCATTATTAAAAGCTCAGGAAAATAGGATACTCATACCCTGATGCCTAAAATGGCAGACATGATGATGCCGGCCCAGTTTCCTTAAAGAGGATGCTCAGCAACTGAAGTGCTTTCTGTTTGGTAGTCTCTCCAAGTTGCACTGGAAGGCACATGGCATTGATTAGGCCCACCATGTTTTGACTAGATTCTTTGTCAGAGTCTGCATGTAATTACTTGGCAACAAGGAATATAGAACAATTCAGAACACTGTAGCCTTCACTGTGCTTGACCTCTGAAGGCAGGTGAGCCCAGAGAATATCTAAGAGTCTTGTTAGCCATTTACACGTACAGTTTTTTTTAAAAAAAACTCCTCAGTATCCAAAGGTGTGCCTCTTTAAGAACAGAGGAAACTATTGGAGACAGATTTCTTTGTTACTTTTCTCCACTAAAGAAGCTTCTCGTATAGCTGTTAAAT